AGTACAGGATTGTCAGGGTCGTTCGTTAATGTACATGTATGTGTAGTACAGGATTTTCAGGGTCGTTTGTTAATGTACATGTATGTGAAGTACAGAGTAGTCAGGGTCGTTCGTTAATGTACATGTATGTGCAGTACAGGATTGTCAGGGTCGTTCGTTAATGTACATGTATGTGTAGTACAGGATTGGCAGGGTCGTTCGTTAATGTACATGTATGTGCAGTACAGGATTGTGAGGGTCGTACGTTCATGTACATGTATGTGTAATAGAAGATAGTCAGGGTCGTTTGTTAATGTACATGTATGTGTAGTAGAGAATTGTAAGGGTCGTTCGTTAATGTACATGTATGTGTAGTACAGGATTTTCAGGGTCGTTCGTTCATGTACATGTATGTGTAATAGAAGATAGTCAGGGTCGTTTGTTAATGTACATGTATATGAAGTACAGGATTGTCAGGGTCGTTCGTTCATGTACATGTATGTGTAGTACAGGATTGTCAGGGTCGTTCGTTAGTGTACATGTATGTGTAGTAGAGGATTGTCAGGGTCGTTCGTTAATGTACATGTATGTGTAGTACAGGATTGTCAGGGTCGTTCGTTAATGTACATGTATGTGCAGAACAGAATTGTCAGGGTCGTTCGTTAGTGTACATGTATGTGTAGTAGAGGATTGTCAGGGTCGTTCGTTAGTGTACATGTATGTGTAGTAGAGGATTGTCAGGGTCGTTCGTTAATGTACATGTATTTGTAGTAGAGGATTGTCAGGGTCGTTCGTTAAGGTACATGTATGTGCAGTACAGGATTGTCAGGGTCGTTCGTTAAGGTACATGTATGTGCAGTACAGGATTGTCAGGGTCGTTCGTTAGTGTACATGTATGTGTAGTAGAAGATTGTCAAAAACTTGTATAACTTTACAGGAATTCGTTTAAAAGAGTGTACATTTTATACACATGGCGTGTTTGTTACGGTATAATACCAGGAGCGTTCGTTTCGGTATATACAGTAGAAACCGGAATGTAGGAGCGTTCGTTACTGTATATACCAGTATCTCTCTGGTGAATAGATACCGTGACTACTACGTTAATATTGCAAAAGTCTATTGATTCACCCTACGGTATGTATTTAGAATATCAAACATCGACCAAAGAGAGAAACAATTATTTTGCAAATACATACTCTTGCACACACTAATTGTATATAAACTATTCGATAAGCCCGATTTTGGATTTTATATATAAATATAATGAATTTAATACCATAAGGATTTTCAACTATTTCAATAACACAATTGACAAAAAGAGTGGGATAGAACATAGCCGATGGCTGATGTCGTATGGTTAAATGTTGTATTTTGTTATTATTAAAATGCATTGTTTCCGACTTGGCAATAGATATCGCTAATTTCTGAACCTGTCGTGATCTAACCTGGTTTTGTTTAGGTCTTTAACGGTACAATAATATATCATTGTGAGACGTTATCTAACCTGTTTTTGTTGAGGTCTTTATCAGTACAATACTATCATTGTGAGACGTTATCTAACCTGGTTTTGTTGAGGTATTTAACGGTACAATACTATATCATTGTGAGACGTTATCTAACCTGTTTTTGTTGAGGTCTTTAACAGTACAATACTATATCATTGTGAGACGTTATCTAACCTGTTTTTGTTGAGGTCGTTGACAGTTTAATACTATATCATTGTGAGACGTTATCTTACCTGGTTTTGTTGAGGTCTTTAACAGTACAATACTATATCATTGTGAGACGTTATCTAACCTATTTTTGTTGAGGTCGTTGACAGTTTAATACTATATCATTGTGAGACGTTATCTAACCTGGTTTTGTTGAGGTCTTTGACAGTTTAATACCATATCATTGTGAGACGTTATCTAACCTGTTTTTGTTGAGGTCTTTATCAGTGCAATACTATCATTGTGAGACGTTATCTAACCTGTTTTTGTTGAGGTCTTTAACAGTACAATACTGTCATTGTGAGACGTTATCTAACCTGTTTTTGTTGAGGTCGTTGACAGTTTAATACTATATCATTGTGAGACGTTATCTTACCTGGTTTTATTGAGGTCTTTAACAGTACAATACTGTATCATTGTGAGACGTTATCTAACCTGTTTTTGTTGAGGTCGTTAACAGCTTAAGACATTTTCGTGTATGTTTCGTTCCTATTGCGTGATATCTATTTCTCTTTTGTAAAAACATCGTGAAATTTCAACCAATCGAATTCCACATTTTAATAAGAAAAACTGATTGCCATTTTTTATATATCTCTTCAAGATTTCAGAACGTTTTGAATCAGACCTGACAACAATTGTATTTGTCCATCTAGAAAGTCAATAATCAGTTTTCCTAAGGAAAATATTTAATTAAAAGCTGTTTTATTATCTGTCTATAACATCGTCTGCCGAAGCTTGTCAGATCGACTCTGTTTCTTGGAGGCACAATTGAATGTTTATAATGACATGACGCCTTCGGATAGGTTGTCAGTAACAGTCGACAGATCTCGAGTCTCAAACCCCGGCTTCTTGGTCGGAGATAATATAATCACACTTCTGCTTTCACCGCATGTCATCCGCGATTATACCAAAGATCAATGCCAATTAGGCTTCAGCAATTTCCTCAAGAAATCGATATATTTGAATTCAAGATTAAAATATTCAATTACGTAAATGTGGCAGTTCAAGAAGATTTCAACTGGCTATAAGGAAAGGTCAGCCGATTTAAAACCGTGTACAGTCACAAGTATGTACTGCTCACCCCGAGTAGTCTCCCTTACTCTACCCACTTTCTCTCCCTCTCATACTCTACCCTCACATACGAGGCAAATCTTGCTTCGCTACATATGAAGTAACCTGTATCGACAAATATGCATTTTAATGTGATTTTTATGATATATAACACACCTGAATTACTGAAAACTTGGTTTAAATGGAAACACCTCTTATTCGTGTTCTTCTGTGTAGTGGTGTTTTATTGTTGTACGGTAGAAATATCTCTGCTTTAATGAGACATGACACACATTAATGTCACGGAGATGCTTGAATGAGACATGTCACACAGTTATGTCACGGAGATGCTTGAATGAGACATGTCACACAGTTATGTCACGGAGATGCTTTAATGAGACATGTCACACATCTATGTCACGGAGATGTTTTAATGATACATGTCACACAGTTATGTCACGGAGATGCTTGAATGAGACATGTCACACAGCTATGTCACGGAGATGCTTTAATGAGACATGTCACACAGCTATGTCACGGAGATGCTTTAATGAGACATGTCACACATCTATGTCACGGATATGCTTTAATGAGACATGTCACACATCTATGTCACGGAGATGCTTTAATGAGACATGTCACACAGTTATCTCACGGAGATGCTTTAATGAGACATGTCACACAGCTATGTCACGGAGATGCTTGAATGAGACATGTCAAACAGTTATGTCACGGTGACATTTACAAAAACGCTGTTTATTTGCACATTTTACACAGGGTTTTACAAATCAAGTTTAATAAAAGCGTTTATGCGTTTTGTAAATATGTAAACTTTTATTTACATGTAGAGCAACGGCATGCATGCTAATTCTATAGTGTTGATTTTTAGGTCTTATTTCTTTCTTTCTGATCCTGTTAATCCAGAACAATTATTACACAATAAAGCTTTACTGTTTAGCGCCCTGGAGAAATGTTGTAAATCATATACGGCACTTTATGTAAATGTTATATATATATAATTATTATTATTAATATTAGTGAATTGTAGTTGGGAGTTGTAATTATTAAATGTTACTATAGTTGAGAATCAGAAACATGAAATTATGCTTTAATAAAGAGTTGGAACATTAAACGATACTAGGTGAGGATATGCAACGGACGCCGTTCAATAACGGCCCCTCCGGAAACCAAAACTCCACTACACCACCACCACACACTTTTTCCAGGCGGCTTATGACCAGTCGTAGGCGTCTGATATGATAAGTCTCCCCATATCGTATTGATTGCATTAAGTGATTGTATAATTTATATATCTATGTACATGTATTGTAAAGCGCTGTAGGATGGTATGATCTAGATAGGGCGCTTCATTAAATATCATGTTGAATAACAAAGTTTACAAGTTACCACCAATAACATATAGGTAATTCAAATGTCGTTTCATTGTCACTTCCTTTTTATAATTTTAGGGCAGTTCCGGTGCACGTGCTGATGTTGGTTGGAATGATTGGTCTACCAATCACAATGTTTGTTATCCCGGCCTGTACGGAGTTCGCCGGCCTGTTGATAGACCTGATGTTGATGGGTTGGTGTATGGGCTGTATCGATTGTGTGGCCAACTTAAGAATGATCAGACGATTCGAGACAAACGTGGCCCCATTCCTTCAGGTAAATATATGTACTCAACTTGTCCGAAATGATCTGAAGAATTGAAATTGGGAAATTAGTTTTACAGGAATAAATAAATAAATAAAAAAATAAAAATTCTGTATAAAAATGATTTGGACCACTTCATTCAATATTATACATATAAAAGAACATTACATCATTGTATCGCACGCCTTTTATCGAAGATGTTTTTGTGTTTGATTTGATAACTTATGGTCCCTTTTTATTGAACATTCAAAACGAACTGAAATCCTGGAGTATTTCTAAAGATGAATATTGATGTTTTGCCTGTGCGACAGATGTGGATTATACGAAAACATGTATGAAAATATAAAATCATGTGTAGAATTAAAAAACACCAAGTCTGAGTTATTTCCTTGTCTTGTTGGTGTAACGCAGGTCGAAAATCTTTCCCCTTTTTATTTTCTACCAACCTTAATGACATGGAAGACTTTTTTAGAGCCAATAGTTCACTCCCCTAAGAACAAATAAAGATAAATTTCAGACTGAGCTGAATATGTTTGTGGATCTTTTCGTCCTGTTATACGCTGACGATACAATTCTTCTTTCTGATTCTGCTGAAGGTTTGTAAAATGCTCTTAAAGTTTTTCAGAAATACTGTGATATATGAAAATTAGAAGTTAATGTGAAGGAAACAAAGATACTTGTATTCTGTAAACGCAAATCTAATAATAACCATGCATTTAGAATTAACGGTCAAGTTTTAAAAGAAATGGACACTTTTAGCTATCTGGATGTGACATTTAATTACAATGGTAGCTTTTTGAAATGTAAACGGAAGCTTTATGAGCAAGCCCAAAAATCCATTTTTCTGTGTATCGTAATATAAAAAATCAATATCTTCCAATAGACTTGCAAATTAAATTATTTCATTTCCTAGTTACATTGTAGTCCTTTATTGTTATATGGATCTGAAACATGGGGTTAGGAAAATATCAAAATAGTAGAACACACTCATTTGAAATTTTGCAGACGAATTTTGGGCCGGCGAACTTCGACACCAAACTTTATGATTTATGGTAAATTAGGTCAATATCCTCTTGAGATAGCTGTTAAAGGGGCTGGTCGGGGAAAAAATTACAAAATAAATGGGTCTAAATGCGTCTCTGGCCTTCCAAAAGTTATACCACGGCAATATGATGGTCGAGTTCTGCTTGCAATGTCCAGTTTTGACCACTGAAATCTCGGGGAAGCCCCGCGTAGAGTCACGTGGTTGTTTCGAAAGTGAGGCGGTAAAGATAACAACAATAGCACGCCGTCATGTGCCATGTCGGACTCAACAGCAATAGTAAACGTAAACAAATGTTTCCAAAGGTCATGTATGATGCAAGTGTAGTATCCCTACCTATATGTTGTTGTTATATATAACGGTATTGATACCTCGTGCCTGTCATGACTTTTGCATGCATCTTTTTCTTTCGCCGCGATGTTTACATTTGGCCTTGTTGATGACGCGCGTGCGGTAAAATTACATCACTGATCTGGGTCAATTGAGAGTTTTAGACTGTCAGGTGACGATTTAGGATTTCTTTAATATAATTATAATTTTTACTCTTAGGGAGTGAATTTCAGCAAAATTTGTATCGGTATATTTCATAAGAAGGTATTTTAAACATGTATATGCCATATTAGCAAATATGACTTTTTTTCCCCGACCAGCCCCTTTAAGTTGAGAATGATGTTTTTTTATAACTCACTATTAATGAATACCTCTAAATTTAGTTGCCATATGTGTAGATTAATGTTCAAACTTCAAGCCAATAATTTGTGTAAGTTTAAATGGTAATAATATATAAAAATGTGTTTTGATGAAGTCGGAAAAAGTTCTATTTTTATAAAACAGGAACCTATTTGTAAATATTATATAAAAAACACTGTCAAACTATTTTTATTGATCAATTATCACAAAGATGGCATGCAAACATTCAAAATTCATCTCGAGGTGAACTCTATTGTAACTTTAAGAAGTAACATGAACTTGAGCCCTACTTGACTCGCCTTTCTGAAAAAAAAACCAGGTCAATATTATGCAAATTTAGATGTTCCAATATGAAATTTCCAATTGAAATGGGTAGGTGGCATAATATTAAACAAAAGACCGAAAATGCACCCTATGTAAAATGATCTAGGCGACGAATTTCATTATTTATTCAAATGTACAAATTTAATAATTGTAGAGCTTAGGGAAAAATATTTTCCTTTGTATAATAGAAAAAAACCTCTCAAGTGGTCTGTTGTCATTTTGTAACATGACAGTATTAAATGGAATTTGTCTTTTGTTGGAAAAAATTAACAAACTGCTGTAATATGTATCATGATTACTGTTTTGTGTACTTGCCATCCATTTTGTCATCACATGTGTATTGTTATACTCTGAAACCTCATGTTTTACATTTTAATGAATCTGAGGAAAACTAATGAACTTATAAACTTTTACGAATAATCCCACGTTTGACCAGATGGTCTCTCTATATTCATATCTGTTAGGATTTTAGAGAAAATTTTAAAAGTCCATGTTATATCATCTACAAATACTCCTAAAGTGTTCAGTACAATGTTATATCACCTACAAATACTCCTAAAGTGTTCAGTACAATGTTGTAACATCTACAAATACTCCTAAAGTGTTCAATACAATGTTATATCATCTACAAATACTCCTAAAGTGTTCAGTACAATGTTATATCATCTACAAATATTCTTAAAGGGTTCAGTACAATGTTATATTATCTACAAATACTCCTAAAGTGTTCAGTACAATGTAATATCATCTACAAATAACCCTAAAGTGTTCAGTACAATGTAATATCATCTACAAATACTCCTAAAGTGTTCAGTACAATGTAATATCATCTACAAATACTCCTAAAGTGTTCAGTACAATGTAATATCATCTACAAATACTCCTAAAGTGTTCAGTACAATGTAATATCATCTACAAATACTCCTAAAGTGTTCAGTACAATGTAATATCATCTACAAATACTCCTAAAGTGTTCAGTACAATGTAATATCATCTACAAATAACCCTAAAGTGTTCAGTACAATGTTATATCATCTACAAATACTCCTAAAGTGTTCAGTACAATGTTATATCATCTACAAATACTCCTAAAGTGTTCAGTACAATGTTATATCATCTACAAATACTCCTAAAGTGTTCAGTACAATGTTATATCATCTACAAATACTCCTAAAGTGTTCAGTACAATGTTATATCATCTACAAATACTCCTAAAGTGTTCAGTACAATGTTATATCATCTACAAATACTCCTAAAGTGTTCAGTACAATGTTATATCATCTACAAATACTCCTAAAGTGTTCAGTACAATGTTGTTACATCTACAAATACTCCTAAAGTGTTCAGTACAATGTTGTTACATCTACAAATACTCCTAAAGTGTTCAGTACAATGTTATATTATCTACAAATACTCCTAAACTGTTCAGTACAATGTTGTTACATCAACAAATACTCCTAAAGTGTTCAGTACAATGTTATATCATCTACAAATACTCATAAAGTGTTCAGTACAATGTTGTTTCATCTACAAATTCTCCGAGAGTGTTCAGTACAGTGTTGTTACATCTACAAATACTCCTAAAGTGTTCAGTACAATGTTGTTTCATCTACAAATTCTCCTAGAGTGTTCAGTACAGTGTTATATCATCTACAAATAACCCTAAAGTGTTCAGTTCAATGTTCTATCATCTACAAATACTCCTAAAGTGTTCAGTACAATGTTATATCACCTACAAATACTCCTAAAGTGTTCAGTACAATGTTATATCACCTACAAATACTCCTAAAGTGTTCAGTACAATGTTATGTCATCTACAAATAACCCTAAAGTGTTCAATACAATGTAATATCACCTACAAATACTCCTAAAGTGTTCAGTGCAATGTTGACCTAACTTCTATGAATGAATGATCGAAGTATAAAATGTAACCGCAGAGAGATAGAAAAATTAAATATGCACGGCAATATATTATCAACAACATCCACAATATTCCGACATATAGTCAATAGTTCTTGTTTATCTTTCAGGCTATGCATTTCTTTTATGGCCTTGGTGCGTTTGTGAGTCCCATGATTGCGGCCCCTTTTATACTGAATGTGGATTGTTCAAAATACATAGACGGCATTACACAAAAACCTCAAGTCACGGGGACAGTTGAAAATGTGTCTATGACGTCAGTTCCGCCAAATCCTCCACGGTTGTCACGTGCCATCAATTTGAGTAATTCCAAAACAGCATTCCTGATATTAGGTTCTATACAGGTATAGTGCTTTGAATGAGATTCAATTCTGTATATGTTTGTTTGATTGATACAATTTCATTGGCAGGTAAAAAAATGTAAGTTTTACACAGATTTCAACTCCAATGAACAAAAGTTCACATCGACAAAAAAAGGAGGGTCAAACGGATTCAAACCCGACAATGAGGTCATCAAAACACAAACCCGACAATGAGGTCATCAAAACACAAACATGTCAATGAGGCCAGCAAAATACAAACCCGTCAACATAGTTAGTTCAAAGCAACAGGAATTAAGATAAGAACGTTGTTTGTGTCAATTATGAGAGATTGAAGCTAAAACGCTCCGGGAAGAGAAAAGAAAATGAAAGTTTACATCAGAATGCGTTATGTCGGTTTAAGTTTTCCCTTCTTCAGAGACGAAAACCTCCGACTCTGTTTAAGTATTCCTCTGTACAGAGACGAAAACCTCCGCCTCTGTTTAAGTATTCCTCTCTACAGAGACGAAAACCTCCGACTCTGTTTAAGTATTCCCTTCTTCAGAGACGAAAACCTCCGACTCTGTTTAATTATTTCCTTCTTCAGAGACGAAAACCTCCGACTCTGTTTAAGTATTCCCCTCTACAGATACGAAAACCTCCGACTCTGTTTAAGTATTCCCCTCTACAGAGACGAAAACCTCCGACTCTGTTTGAGTATTCCCTTTCTCAGAGACGAAAACCCCCGACTCTGTTTAAATATTCCCTTCTTCAGAGACGAAAACCTCCGACTCTGATTAAGTATCCCCCTCTACAGAGACGAAAACCTCCGACTCTGATTAAGTATTCCCTTCTTCAGAGACGAAAACCTCCGACTCTGATTAAGTATTCCTCTCTGCAGAAACGAAAACCTCCGACTCTGTTTGATGATTCCCTTCTTCAGAGAAGAAAACCTCCGACTCTGTTTTAGTATTCCCTTCTTCAGAGCCGAAAACCTTCGACTCTGTTTAATTATTCCCTTCTTCAGAGACGAAACCCTTCGACTCTGTTTAAGGATTCCCTTCTCCAGAGACGAATTCCTCCGACTCTGTTTATGTATTCCCTTCTCCAGAGCCGAATTCCTCCGACTCTGTTTATGTATTCCCTTCTCCAGAGACGAATACCTCCGACTGTGTTTAAGTATTCCCTTCTTGAGAGACGAAAACCTCCGTCTCTGTTTAAGTATTCCGCTCTACAGAGACGAAAACTTCCGACTCTGAGGAACATTGTAATAGACGTACTCTGCTGGAGTTCGTATGAACATAACAAGAACACTACCCCTTATTTCTCCATCCGGGGTGTCTTTAGCATTACATGCTGCAATGGATATGTAACCAGTCGTATAATTGTATCGTCGGTGTAATGTGTCGCCATACATTAGGACAAACACTTTATGGTCATGTTTGAGTATTCCCTTTTTCAGAAACGAAAACCTTCGACTCTGTTTAGGTATTCCTCTCTACAGAGTTGAAAATCTCCGGCTCTGTTTGAGTATTCCTGCCAACAGAGACGAAAACCTCCGACTGTGTTTAAGTATTCCCTTCTACAGAGACGAAAACCTCTGACTCTGTTTAAGTATTCACTTCTTCAGAGAAGAAAACCTCCGCCTCTGTTTAAGTATTCCTCGCTACAGAGACGAAAACCTTCGGCTCTGTTTAAGTATTCCGCTCTACAGAGACGAAAACTTCCGACTCTGAGGAACATTGTAATAGACGTACGTTTAATGATTCCCTTCTTTAGAGACGAAAACCTCCGTCTCTGTTTAAGTATTCCTTTCTACAGAGACGAAAACTTCCGACTCTGAGGAACATTGTAATAGACGTACGTTTAATGATTCCCTTCTTCAGAGATGAAAACCTCCGACTCTGTTTTAGTATTCCCTTCTTCAGAGCCGAAAACCTTCGACTCTTTTTAAGTATTCCTCTCTTCAGAGACGAAAACCTTCGACCCTGTTTAAGTATTCCTCCCTACAGAGACGAAAATCTCCGACTCTGTTTTAGTATTCCCTTCTTCAGAGATGAAAACCTCCGACTCTGATTAAGTATTCCCTTCTTGAGAGACGAAAACCTCCGACTCTATTTAAGTATTCCCTCTACAGAGACGAAAACTTCCGACTCTATTTAAGTATTCCCTCTACAGAGACGAAAACTTCCGACCCTGTTTAAGTATTCCTCTCAACAGAGACGAAAACCTCCTACTCTGATTAAGTATTCCCTTCTTCAGAGTCGAAAACCTCCGACTCTATTTAAGTATTCCCTTCTTTAGAGACGAAAACCTCCGTCTCTGTTTAATTATTCCTCTCTACAGAGTTGAAAATCTCCGGCTCTGTTTGAGTATTCCTCTCAACAGAGACGAAACCCTCCGACTCTGTTTGATGATTCCCTTCTTCAGAGACGAAACCCTCCGACTCTGATTAAGTATTCCCTTCTTTAGAGACGAAAACCTCCGTCTCTGTTTAATTATTCCTCTCTACAGAGTTGAAAATCTCCGGCTCTGTTTGAGTATTCCTCTCCACAGAGACGAAAACCTCCTACTCTGTTTAAGTATTCGCTTCTTCAGAGACGAAACCCTCCGACTCTGCTTGAGTATTCCCTTTCTCAGAGACGAAAACCTCCGTCTCTGTTTAATGATTCCCTTCTTCAGAGAAGAAAACCTCCGACTCTGTGTAAGTATTCCCTTCTTCAGAGAAGAAAACCTCCGCCTCTGTTTAATTATTCCTCTCTACAGAGTTGAAAATCTCCGGCTCTGTTTGAGTATTCCCTTTTTCAGAGAGGAAAACCTCCGACTCTGTTTGTGTTTAAGTATTCCTCTCTCCAGAGACGAAAACCTCCTACTCTGTTTAAGTATTCGCTTCTTCAGAGACGAAACCCTCCGACTCTGATTAAGTATTCCTCTCTGCAGAAACGAAACCCTCCGACTCTGCTTGAGTATTCCCTTTCTCAGAGCCGAAACCCCCCGACTCTGTTTGAGTATTTGTTTAAGTTTTCACTTCGTCAGAGACGAAAACCTCCGTCTCTGTTTAAGTATTCCTCACTACAGAGACGAAAACCTCTGACTCTGTTTAAGTATTCCTTTCTACAGAGACGAAAACTTCCGACTCTGAGGAACATTGTAATAGACGTACGTTTAATGATTCCCTTCTTTAGAGACAAAAACCTCCGACTCTGTTTAATGATTCCCTTCTTTAGAGACGAAAACCTCCGCCTCTGTTTAATTATTCCTCTCTACAGAGTTGAAAATCTCCGGCTCTGTTTGAGTATTCCTGCCAACAGAGACGAAAACCTCTGACTCTGTTTAAGTATTCCCCTCTACAGAGACGAAACCCTTCGACTCTGTTTAAGTATTCACTTCTTCAGAGAAGAAAACCTCCGCCTCTGTTTAATGATTCCCTTCTTTAGAGACAAAAACCTCCGACCCTGTTTAAGTATTCCTCACTACAGAGACGAAAACCTTCGGCTCTGTTTAAGTATTCCGCTCTACAGAGACGAAAACTTCCGACTCTATTTAAGTATTCCCTCTACAGAGACGAAAACTTCCGACTCTGAGGAACATTGTAATAGACGTACGTTTAATGATTCCCTTCTTTAGAGACGAAAACCTCCGTCTCTGTTTAAGTATTCCCTTCTTTAGAGACGAAAACCTCCGTCTCTGTTTAAGTATTCCGCTCTACAGAGACGAAAACTTCCGACTCTGAGGAACATTGTAATAGACGTACTCTGCTGGAGTTCGTATGAACATAACAAGAACACTACCCCTTATTTCTCCATCCGGGGTGTCTTTAGCATTACATGCTGAAATGGATATGTAACCAGTCGTATAATTGTATTGTCAGTGAAATTTGTCGCCATACCCTAGATCAAACACTTTATGATCAGTGTAATGTGTCGCCATACATTAGGACAAACACTTTATGGTCAGTGTTATGTGTCGCCAGACCCTAGAACAAACACTTTTTGGTCAGTGTAATGTGTCGCCATACCCAAAAACAAACACTTTATGGTCAGTGTTATGTGTCGCCATACCCTAGAACAAACACTTTTTGGTCAGTGTAATGTGTCGCTACACCCTAAAACAAGCACTTTATGGTCAGTGTTATGTATCGCCATACCCTAGAACAAACACGTTATGGTCAGTCTAATGTGTCGCCATACCTACAGAGACGAAAACCCCCGACTCGGTTTAAGTATTCCCTTTTTCAGAAACGAAAACCTTCGACTCTTTTTAAGTATTCCTCTCTACAGAGACGAAAACCTTCGACTCTGTTTAAGTTTTCACTTCTTCAGAGACGAAAACCTCCGACTCTGTTTAAGTATTCCTCTCTACAGAGACGAAAATCTCCGACTCTGTTTGAGTATTCCTGCCTACAGAGACGAAAACCTCCGACTCTGTTTAAGTATTCCTCTCTACAGAGACGAAAACCTCCGACTCTGCTTAAGTATTTCCTTCTTTTGAGACGAAAACCTCCGACTCTGTTTAAGTATTCACTTCTTCAGAGACGAAAACCTCCGACTCTGATTAAGTATTCCTCTCTGCAGAAACGAAAACCTCCGACTCTGTTTGAGTATTCCTCTCTACAGAGACGAAAACCTCCGACTCTGTTTGAGTATTCCTCTCTACAGAGACGAAAACCTCCGACTCTGATTAAGTATTCCTCTCTGCAGAAACGAAAACCTCCGACTCTGTTTGAGGATTCCTCTCTACAGAGACGAAAACCTCCGACTCTGCTTAAGTATTTCCTTCTTTTGAGACGAAACCCTCCGACTCTGTTTAAGTATTCCCCTCTACAGAGACGAAAACTTCCGACTCTGAGGAACATTGTAATAGACGTACTCTGCTGGAGTTCGTATGAACATAACAAGAACACTACCCCTTATTTCTCCATCCAGGGTGTCTTTAGCATTACATGCTGCAATGGATATGTAACCAGTCGTATAATTGTATCGTCGGTGTAATGTGTCGCCATACCCTAGAACAAACACTTTATGGTCAGTGTAATGTGTCGCCATACCCAAAAACAAACACTTTATGGTCAGTGTAATGTGTCGCCATACCCTAGAACAAACTCTTTATGGTCAGTGTAATGTGTCGCCATACCTTACAACAAACACTTTATGGTCAGTGTAATTTGTTGCCCTACCCTAGAAAAAACACTTTATGGTCAGTGTAATGTGTCGCCATACCCTGGAACAAACACTTTATGGTCAGTGTTATGTATCGCCATACACTAGAACAAACACTTTATGGTCAGTGTAATGTGTCGCCATACCCAAAAACAAACACTTTATGGTCAGTGTAATGTGTCGCCATACCTTACAACAAACACTTTATGGTCAGTGTAATTTGTTGCCCTACCCTAGAAAAAACACTTTATGGTCAGTGTAATGTGTCGCCATACCCTAGAACAAACACATTATGGTCAGTGTAATGTGTCGCTATACCCTAAAACAAGCACTTTATGGTCAGTGTTATGTGTCGCCATACCCTAGAACAAACACTTTATGGTCAGTGTTATGTGTCGCCATACCCTAACAAAGATGTTTGATTTATATTTAAATGCGTCCATTAACGCTAGTAAATCTTGTCCATTGTCAAGGCTATACATATCAAAACTACATCCTCAGTGTCCGACTTCACACTTTATATTACCTTTAACAAACCTTCTGTATGTTGGACATCAAGGATATCTCTTTAAATCAAAATCAAATATATTGGAAAAATGAAAATGCGTAAAATTAAGCAGAACGACCCATTACAGTTAACTGTTGACGAAATCCCTATGTACTCTGACCTATATCATTGTTATTTACAGCTAGTTATAACTATTATCGTGGTCCTGGTAGTTGTACTAGAGAAACAGAGGTTTATAGGAACCGGTGCTGCCCTCTCTCAGTCAAACAGCACAAGGTCCCTGCATTCCGTATCCTCAGACAAAGGTAGGTAACCCTGCGACATACAATGAAGTTGATATTTCTAATACAAGTACATTTGTGTATTTCTAATCTAATAATAAGTATTTATAATCTTTTATTACGTATTTCTAATCATATTACATGTCTATATAATCTTGTTCTGTTGATCTTAATGTAATTTTTTTTTTTAACAAATTCGCGGAAAGTTTATTTGTTTATGTTTTCCTGTTTCTATTGTTTGAATAAATTAAAATCATGTAATTTAAAAATCCAACTTTCAACTTGACACAATCACAATATTCCTTTTTTAATATAACCAACAAAATAAAATATTATTCATTAACACTTTGAATTATATACTGATATAACAACGAGATGTCAGCACTGTTCAATGTATTACTCTACTACCACAAATTGTATTAGGCCGGACAAAGAGAATGATGTGTTTTATGACAGTCTCGATGTTTATTTTCTTTGTTCAGTTTTGAAGGATTTCAGACCTGAACGACATTTCAGAGGAAGAATAGTCGTTTTAACTGATGCATAGATGTATATTTATTATTTTATGATAAGGACGGTGTCTTTATATGCCAATTTATTAAATTAAATGCCACACACCTTGATTATGTGATAAAAAGGATCTTACACTCGTTTTCATTCCATATGAAATTTATAAAACTCGTCAAGAATTTTTCATCTTAGCTCGCCAGAGGCTCGCTAAATTGAAAAATTCTTAGACTCGTTTCATAAATCTCATATGAAATGGAAACTCATGTAAGATCCTATATGTATATTACTTGTTTTCACTGCTGTGTATGACTTTTTTTATTCTTTATTTATGATTCCAGATCTGAACGATATTTCCGGAGAAGGAGTGATCGCCAGGTGTTTCTACTGCGGCACGCGGGAAATGTTACTTGTCACCTTTATGACGTCAGTACTATTATTCATATTTGATGGTTTACAGGTACGTTTTTTTTGCATTTATTATTAATTTTTTTTAGTTAAAATGAGAGAAAACCCTAACAAAGCTTACAGTATCTCTTCCATAAGAAGTTTACTATTTATTCTTCATTAAAATAGTCTCTACTGAAAATGATATACCATTAAAAATAAGTAAATGAACAAATGTAGCTAGTACAGATATCATTGCAATGCTAATTGATTCTAATCCTTGACTTTTGTTGCCTTTGTTTCAGTCTTCATATGCAGACTATATATATTCATATTCGGAAAAGAATGTGAATGGTCTTAAAAAAGGAGAGGGAGCCGTGTTAAACGCCTGTTTTTGGGTAAGAAGACAATTAAGATATACATCAGGAGTGGAGACGCAAAGGGTCGTCTCTCCTTTTTATTACATATAGAATTAGCATTACTTCTAGTTATGAGTTCTCGTCTCAAAAAAGGCAAAATATAACTTAGTGTCAACAGAACCGTATAACAAACTCAAGCTCGATACATCTATTGCAAAATATGAAAAAAATAAAAATTGACATAGAGACCACTGAACAATTACAAGATAAATAAGACATGGCGTTCCGGAAGGGTAGGCATTTTCTGTTTCAACGACGACATATAGATGATATCCAATTAATGTTACGCCCTCGGAGAGAAAACAACGAAAAATACCCACACGTTTGGTTATAAACAGATGATCGAACTTCACATCACGCAACGGGATAGCATATTTTCCCAAAGAGAACATGATAGCAATCCTGCCAGTTGTCTTCATCAGCCTTTATCTATCGAAAACCTTGGCGATAAGTTTGTCCGTCTACAGTAATCATGTAAAACATAATGATATTGAATCGACTGCTACATGTAAGCACCGTAGGATGGGGATTTCAGGGATGCAACTATCAAGAAAACGAAAGTTCCCTATTGGAATATCGAAATCGTTAACCTCATTATATGGCTTAATAAATAAGCTGTCTCTATTAGGCATATCGTCCTGTCCTATAATTTTAGTTATGAAGAGTATATACGATCAGCGTAGTGAAAAAATCGTTGATATACCAGAAAATCGATCGGAGGACTAGTGTAGGTTTTTGTTACCTGTTATGATTATCAATAATTTCAGCTTCATAAAGGAAATCGGCCAGAAGAGGGCACAGTTGCCACCGAATTCAACAAACATTGTCGACCAGAATCTCAATCATTCTCACGATTTCATTCTCAGTATTTTCACAATACAAATACTGGCTTAAATATTTTGCAACCATATATTGTCGTGTGCCTGTCTTCGAAAAGCAATTTTTCAGTTCGGTATGTGGTATGGTAGTGCAAAGAGTGGGAACGTTAATTGTACTGTTGAAAGACACATTGTTAAGGGGAGGATGCTCACGATAGATCAAAAGAACTTTCAAGTACTAGAGAGACACATTATAGCGTTATACCACAACATCAGCCCAAAGAAGTATCGATTGCGGTAACATTCAAGGCCACAATAGACTGAAGGGTCAACACACAAGGCGAGATAATAACCTCAATGTTTATCATCATATTGTGTAGTACCTGTACAATATACGTCCATATTTCTTTTGTAGGGTCTCTTTGCCTTGGGGCGACTTTTCTCCATCGGAATAGCAACAAGATTTACTCCCGCATTTATGCTGCTTTGTAATTTAGTAAGTAAACTTTGTTTATATTTCATCTGTAAAATAAAAAGGACCTTACTACATATGCGAGAGAGCGTATGTCCTCAGGAGTAAAATGAGAACCGTTTACTAACGCTAGCGTCTTCAATGTTAGCAAGTGAACAAAGGGGCTTCCAGAACTAATTAATGTACTATCACCGAAAGTGTAAGCATAAGGAACGGTGATGGTCAAATGTCAAAGGAAAGTTTTCACCCATAACTGTCATGGCGGTATAATCTGTTTTGAAGTATGACATCAAAATAAATCCCTCCATGCTCACTAGAATAATCACACCGGGTCTAGTGGATATAAAAGATCACCGGTTTCAGCAAATGGATTAACGTATTTAATCTACGCCAACAGATTTTTACATGAAAATTAAACGTACCTCTTATTGATTTTGTTGATTTATATGATTTTTTATTTGGAAATATATTAATATCTCATATTTTACAAACATCACACAGCTTACTGTGCTCTGTTGGATGTTTGACCCTCTGTTGGGCGTTTGACCCTCTATTGAAAGTTTCACCCTCTGTTGGAAGTGTGACCCTCTGTTGGAAGTTTGACCCTCTGTTGGAAGTTTGACCCTCTGTTAGAAGTATGATCCTCTGTTGGAAGGTTGACCCTCTGTTGGATGTTTAACCCTCTGTTAGAAGTTAGACCCTCTGTTGGAAGGTTGACCCTCTGTTGGATGTATTGCCCTCTGTGGTGATGGCCGACAGTTCGTAGTTCATTTTAACTCCATATCCTTTCTTTCTACATTAGGAATTTGATCAAGGTTAACGGTAGTTAACTGAAACCCTAACGGTAGATAACACGAACCCTAACGGTGGGTAACACGAACCCTAACGGTAGGTAACACGAACCCTAATGGTAGTTACAATGTAGCACGAACACTAACGGTAGGTAACACGAACCCTAACGGTAGGTAACACGAACCCTAATGGTAGTTTTCTCGACCCCTAACGGTAGGTAACACGAACCCTAATGGTAGTTTTCTCGACCCCTAACGGTAGGTAACACGAACCCTAAGGGTAGGTAACACGAACCCTAACGAGTTAACTGAAACCCTAACGGTAGATAACACGAAACCTAACGGTGGGTAACACGAACCCTAACGGTAGGTAACACGAACACTAACGGTAGTTTACTCGACCCCTAACGGCAGGTAACACGAACCCTAACGGTAGTTTACTCGAACCCTAACGGTAGGTAACACGAACCCTAACGGTAGGTAACACAAACCCTAACGGTAGGTAACACGAACCCCAATGGTAGTTACAATGTAACACGAACCCTTATGGTAGTTACAATGTAACACGAACCCTAATGGTAGTTACAATGTAACACGAACCCTAATGGTAGTTACAATGTAACACGAACCCTAATGGTAGTTACAATGTAACACGATCCCTAACGGTAGGTAACACGAACCCTAACGGTAGGGAACACAAACCCTAACGGTAGGTAACACGAACCCCAATGGTAGTTACAATGTAACACGAACCCTTATGGTAGTTACACCCTAACGGTAGGTAACACGAACACTAACGGTAGTTTACTCGACCCCTAACGGCAGGTAACACGAACCCTAACGGTAGTTTACTCGACCCCTAACAGTAGGTAACACGAACCCTAATGGTAGTTACAATGTAACACGAACCCTAACGGTAGGTAACACGAACACTAACGGTAGGTTACTCGATCCCCAACGGTAGTTTACTCGATCCCTAACGGTAGGTTAACGGTAGATAACACGAACCCTAACGGTGGGTAACAGGAACCCTAACGGTAGGTAACACGAACCCTAATGGTAGTTTTCTCGACCCCTAACGGTAGGTAACACGAACCCTAAGGGTAGGTAACACGAACCCTAACGAGTTAACTGAAACCCTAACGGTAGATAACACGAACCCTAACGGTGGGTAACAGGAACCCTAACGGTAGGTAACACGAACCCTAATGGTAGTTTTCTCGACCCCTAACGGTAGGTAACACGAACCCTAAGGGTAGGTAACACGAACCCTAACGAGTTAACTGAAACCCTAACGGTAGATAACACGAACCCTAACGGTGTGTAACACGAACCCTAACGGTAGGTAACACGAACCCTAACGGTAGTTTACTAGACCCCTAACGGTAGGTAACACGAACCCTAATGGTAGTTTTCTCGACCCCTAACGGTAGGTAACACGAACCCTAATGGTAGTTACAATGTAGCACGAACACTAACGGTAGGTAACACGAACCCTAACGGTAGGTTACTCGACCCCTAACGGTAGGTAACACGAACCCCAATGGTAGTTACAATGTAACACGAACCCTTATGGTAGTTACAATGTAACACGAACCCTAATGGTAGTTACAATGTAACGCGAACCCTAACGGTAGGTAACACGAACCCTAACGGTAGGTTACTCGATCCCCAACGGTAGTTTACTCGATCCCTAACTGTAGGTAACACGAACCCTAACGGTAGGTAACACAAACCCTAACGGTAGGGAACACGAAACCCAATGGTAGTAACAATGTAACACGAACCCTAATGGTAGTTGGTAGGTAACACGAACCCTAACGGTAGGTAACCCGAACCCTAACGGTAGGTAACACGAACCCTAATGGTAGTTTTCTCGACCCCTAACGGTAGGTAACACGAACCCTAACGGAAGTTTACTCGACCCCTAACGGTAGGCAACACGAACCCTAACGGTAGTTTACTCGATCCCTAACGGTAGGTAACACGAACCCTAACGGTAGTTAACTCGACCCCTAACGGTAGGTAACACGAACCCTAATGGTAGTTACAATGTAACACGAACCCTAATGGTAGTTACAATGTAACACGAACCCTAACGGTAGGTAACACGAACCCTAACGGTAGGTAACACAAACCCTAACGGTAGGTAACACGAACCCCAATGGTAGTAACAATGTAACACGAACCCTAATGGTAGTTGGTAGGTAACACGAACCCTAACGGTAGGTAACACGAACACTAACGGTAGTTTACTCGATCCCCAACGGTAGTTTACTCGATCCCTAACGGTAGGTAACACGAAACCTAACGGTAGGTAACACGAACCCTAACGGTAGTTTACTCGACCCCTAACGGTAGGTAACACGAACCCCAATGGTAGTTACAATGTAACACGAACCCTTATGGTAGTTACAATGTAACACGAACCCTAATGGTAGTTACATTGTAGCACGAACCCTAACGGTAGGTAACACGAACCCTAACGGTAGGTAACACGAACCCTAACGGTAGTTTACTCGACCCCTAACGGTAGGTATCACGAACCCTAACGGTAGTTAACACGAACTGCCGCGACATTAGAAAAGTTCATTGACGTCAAATAACTGTAACTGATGTCTCTAAATTAGAGCCTGCTGACTCCACGAAGAAACTTTAAAATCTTGTGTTCCGTCCAGTAAATCGCTGATATAATGACTCCCATTATTATAAATAACCAAGCGTGTATTGACCTCTAATGGTGTAATTCATGGTAAGGTCAAACTTGTTTATTTTCGTTCTATAGTAATATTTAAGTCCAGTTTATTTAAATGTCTTGTATGATCACATTTGGCTTGTAAAATGTCCCGACACCTCTTCAGAACACTTTTTTTTTTTTTTTTTTTTAATTTGTTTTTTTTTAAAGACATTTTTATTACATAAATACATAAACACACATACACCCACATACATACAATTCCCATTTGCATGGTTTGTCTCTTGCATCGTCATATCCTTCATCATCATCATCCTCATCGTGACTGAATATCATCATCAGCCTTGTCAATCATCATCAATAGTAATACACCATTATCATCTTAATACATCATCATCATCATCATCATCATCATCATCATCATCATCATCATCATCATCATCATCTCATCAACATTCTATTAATCCATCATCATCATCATCATCATCATAATCATCATCATCATCATCATCATGATCCTATCAATCCATCATCATCATTCTATCAATCTATCATCATCATCATCATCATTCTATCAATCCATCATTATCATATCATCATCATCATCATCATCATAATCATCATCATCATTATCATCATGATCCTATCAATCCATCATCATCATTCTATCAATCCATCAAATCCATCATCATCATTCTATCAATCCATCATTATCATATCATCATCATCATCATCATCATCATCAACATCATCAGTATATCAATCTATCATCATCATCAGAAACATCATCCTATCATCATCATAATCATCGTCATCATCATCATCATCATCATTTTATCAATATATCAATCTATCATCATCATCATCAACAGATGCATCCTCAATAATCATCAATACATCAGTCACATGCTATCATTAATATATATATGTTTTTATATATATAAAAATAGATATTGACAACTATACACAAATACTTATCCTTCCATATATTCTGATAAACATTCACCTCACACACACTTGTACATCTCACACACACAATACAGACAGACTTGTAGAGAGAGAGAGAGAGAGAGAGAG